TCTCTCTCTCTCTCTCTCTCTCTCTCTCTCTCTCTCTCTCTCTCTCTCTCTCTCTCTCTCTCTCTCTTCATGTTTCCAGTAAAATTTTATTCAGGAAAATTTCGAAAGGAACAAAACGGTAAAGTGAAGGTATCAATGCTGGACTATCTAATTTTGGACGTTTTTATGGTTTTATATTAGTCCTCAAATACAAATACATTTATTCTTTTAATATAGAATATGCATACATATGTTTTATATTGAAAATGAGACTTTATTATTTTTTCGAATCTGAGATTCAAAGATCTTCGGGTTCTCCAAAAATTGAAGTGTCGAATCCCGAATTAAGTTCGCAAGAAAATCAGTCAAACAGACACGTACTTTGCAGCAATCTAGATCCCTCTCGAAAATTTGACAATCAATAAATCAGTACTTCTCAACTGCAATTTGACGACTTAACCTGAGATGATTGTGCCTAATTATATATCTAAATATTAATTATTTCGGATAATTTTGTTATTAAATAGGTTAATCTTTGTATTCATCGTTTTTTTTTTTTTCTTTTCTTATTCAATTTGAATTTGAATTTAGTCCTGAATCCGAATATCTTATCATGATCTGAGCTCGATGTCCAAATAGTATGATTTTAAGATTTCAGATCGGAACTGATCTTAGATATCTGAATACTTAGAAGAGCTCTGATTGAAAGTTTAAATATCTACATCTGTAAAAATTAAAGCAAAAAGAATGTCCAGGATTAAGAACCTGAACAGACATTGGTATATTTTTATCTACCAAAAGAAAGGAAAGGGGAAAATAATACTATGATACTATGATAAATCTGAGACGCGACCTGAGACATCAGATTGAAGACTGCGGCTACTCTATTATTTAGATTAACCTTCGGGCTCGCAAATTCGCAAGCTTGCTCGTCGCAATTGCGCGATTTGGTCACGGCAGGTTCAAAGGTGAATTATATGTTATTATGTTAATCAGATCCCTTTCTTCCTGCACTTTACAGTGCGTGGGAGGCTATCTATGTTGTAGGGAGCTCTGCCCTCAAAAGTAATCTCAGGTTACGTAGTAAGAAAAATAACAAGTAACGCGACACACATTCGTGTCCGCCCGCTTCGTGCGCGGAGTTCTATCTTTGTACATTCGCGATCGCGGAAGTTCGCGTTCGTCAAAGGCGACGACTTCATTCGCCGTGTATTACGATCGCTCTGACGAGCGCGACGCGCGCTATTAAGAGCGTTATTATGAGACTCGCGTCGAAGACCTTTCAGAGACGCTCGCGTCAACGTCGGTTAACTAATCGCGCTTAACCGAGTTTCTGCGTTAGCTGAGAAGCGGGCGGGAGTAAGTCCCGAACCTTATTCCCGTAAGGTCTCCAGATCGTATCGTAATCGAGTAGGGAAGCAACCACCAGCTGAATTATTAATATTTCCATCGCCGCACATAGTGGTCCAGAATCTTGAAGCTTGAATCTTGAATCTTTTAGCACGAAAAAGGTGAAATTTTGATTATTTTATTCAAAATATTTTGATTATTTTATGAGTTATTATAGACATTCTAAAGTATCATAAATTGCAAAATTTTAAGGATAATATTAATCTACAATGTCGTACATTATAAGAAAACTTTATTTCTATTCTCTACGACTATTAAGGTTTATATTAGTAATTATTATTTGAAACTCGTCTGCAGCGAGATAACTAGATTTGAATTCAGAATTAGATAAGATGTTTTTTAGCTGAATCGCGCGGTTACAGATAGAAATATATAATTATAATTTAACTATTTGTTGAAATACTTGCTGAAATAAAAAAATCTATTTATAAAACGAAAAAAGAATATCAATGAAAATTTATTTAAAGGAACTTTTATCAAGTCATATGACATACTTGTTATTTGATTATATATTCTAGTTATATGAATATTTAACGTTATATTCCAAAACATATAGTTGCAAAACATATATTCCAAAACATAGTTGCAAAACAAAATAGATGATAAAAAATAATGTTAACAAATATCTTCAATTATTTTGTATTGGAAAGCTAAATTGCATCACTGTATGCGCAAAATTATTACTTTCCAACGCAAGTTGGGCTAGCTTTCTCAATTGTTGGTCGTTGGATATGATTGCACGTTAAATTTGTCAAGAGAGTTTTCTTGCGTGACAAATGAGAAATTAACTTCAAGTTTCATATTCTCGGAAACGCACCCCTTGTCTCAGAACACTCGGTGGGAACGTTGTTGCAGAATTTTGCTTGCAGCCCGAATGCTGCGATTTGAAGGATGCACTGAAAGAAATTATTCGATAAGAAATTAACAAACAAATATTTCCGATCAAAATATTTTGTATCCGACCAGGAAACATCCGATTAGAAATATCGGTTCTTGATTTTTTATCGGTTTATCTGATGAAATGCCATTACAATTGGAAATATTCGATTAAATTTAATCGGATATCCTGATCAGATAAAAAAATTCACCGGTATTTAGGTCGGAAATATCCGTTTGTTAATTTTTTATCGGATAATTTCTCTCACAAGTAACACTATTCAAGTATCGCACGTCGATCTTCTTGAAACTTTGCATACATGTAGTACAATCGAAAAACAGTAGACACGTATTTTTTTATTTTGCCTAACAAGGCATTTTAAGGTTAGAAAACGCATTCAAAAATTTAACCATGAAATTAAAATTTAACTCTATAGCACCATGATAACTAATGCTACTCTTGAGCGTCATTCTTTTACAGCTTTTACGACATTATTATAATTTCTGATCTTTATTATCATTGTCTGAATGTTTCTGAAGTCGCTAATTATGATTTTGACATTAGTTTGTAATCGTAATCATGGGTCTAAAAAACTTCTTCGAAACTGACTTTGAATAAAATCTTTGAAATGTGCGATTTCGGTCCGCCATTTTAAATCTTGCAAAACTAATGTCAAAATCATAATTAGCGACTTCAGAAACATTCAGATAATGAAATTATAATAAAGTAATGTCGTAAAAACTGTAAAAGAATGACGCTCAGGAGTAGCATTAGTTATCATGGTGCTATAGAGTGTTAAATTTTCGAATGCGTTTTTAAATCTTAAAATGCCTTGTTAGCCAAAATAAAAAAATACGTGTCTAATATTTTTCGATGTACTACATGTGTGCAAAGTTTCAAGAAGATCGGCGTGTGGCACTTGGGTAGTGTTACTTGTCAGTGTGAGATTGGTAGCCAGACGATGTTAGTTAACCGAAATTGTCGATGCATCTCGTCTTGGGACGGACGGAAAGACAAAGAGACAGAGAGAGAGAGAAGGAGGGTAGGAGGGAGGGAAAGGGTCGATGCTACGTCTCGTCCTTCGAGATCATAATTGGATTTCGCTTCGCTGCTTCCCGGTGTACACGGTGGCGAGAGACGTGCATGCGTAGTAATTTATGCCTCGCCCGTCGTTGTCCAACTTGCTAAAACATTAAACG